GATACGTTTCTGGGTTTCCTTTTGTCATAAGTAATTTTTAATTTCATTTATTTATATGAAAGGTAAATGGGTAGAGAAGGAGAGGGCCAGAAAGAGGAAAGAAGAGGAAGGGAGGGAGGGAGAGAGGAGAGAGAGGGAGAGAGAGGGAGGGAGAGAGAAGGAGAGAGGGGGAAAGAGAGGGAGAGGGAGGGAGAGGAGAGGGAGAGGGAGAGGGAGAGAGAGAGAAACTTTTTATTTACTGGTTCAGTCCCAGAGCTGGGCCAAGTCAAAGTGAGGAGCCAGGAACTCCATCCACGTCTTTCATGTGGGTGGCAGGGATTAAAGTACTTGAGCTATCATCTGCTGCCTCCCAGAATGCATCACTGTGTGAATCCCAGATGTGTATCTGATATGGGATGTAAGAGTCCCATAGAAGCTTAACCTGCATCACCACAACACCTACTCTTGTCCTACGTTTACATATTATTTAAACAGGTAATCTGCATTTGCTTGGAAGTGATTAATTTGAAATTTTATTACCACAGTAGAGAATTGTCCAGCTAAATATTTGTGATATGTTTTGTGTTTACATAGATGGTGCAGTTTAAACTTTATACCATGGTGAAGGAAACAATATGCTAATATTGCTCAACATGAACATTAACATTATGGTAGAATTAAATTTTCAAACTCAAATTCAGGCAATGTATGCTTTTAAAAATGCCTTAACATGATAAATATTTTCTACTTTGAATCACTATGCACATGTTTTGCTTTTCACTCTATGAAACTAAAAACTCTTGCAAAAATGGAATATTTAAACATTAGTATGTAGGTATGTATATGCGTGATAATGTGCTTTTATATTCTAACAAATTTATTGTGTAATTTACTTAATGGTCTTTAACTCGAGTTCTCAAAAAGGTATCATGACTATAAGCAAATTGATAGGAAAGTAGATAACAATGAATTAATGATTTCTGGCAGCCGAAGACACTGTTTATCTCTTTTGAGGTAGACAGAATTCAAACTGCCTTCATTAGCTGAGCAATATGCTGTGAGAATGAGCTGAGTACTTATCAAAGAGGCTCTTTCATTTGCATTTTTGCTAAATAACCAAGCTGCTTTGTTTTCTAGCTGCTCAAGAGCTGTGAATAGGAGAGAATAAAGAATCTGATTCAGGTAAGTGAGCCGGGGGCATTACAGGACTAGACTAAAGAAAACAAAAAAAATTTATCAATGAACATGTCAGAATTGTGCCATGCGTGTTTGTGATACAAAAAGATAGTCTTACACATAGTAGAGATACAGGATGCAGAAATGCCTAAATTCTCCCCGTATCTAGCAGTATCACAAGCAAAGCTAGAGGCTGTTCTTTTGATAAATGATCAATACTTCAGTCTGACACGACCCTAACTGCCCAAGTGTGACAGGTTAAAAGTTTGAATTTCAATTAAGCAGTAAATAGTTATGAAATTACATCTCCAGCAGTCAATTAATATTTTCCCAATCCCCTTCATTCTGAAACACGATTATTCTACAGAGTCCTTTCCTTTAGGCTTACACAGGAGGCAAAAGATCCTTCTTTGTCTGGTAGAGACACTGTTTTATTTGTTGCATGCCTATGTACAAAGAAAGTTATATTTCTACAAGTTGAGAAACAATAAAATGTATTAATAAATGCACTCAGTCAACAGTGCCTTGTGTTGATTGTACAGTGTTAATTCTTGTTGTATTTCAGAAGTTTTCCACATATACCTTCCTTGCAAAACTTTAATAACATGCAATACATGTAAATAGTCAATATACTGATCACACTGAAATCAGGGTAAACATTCTCCTTTCCTGTGTCATTAAATCTTCCTATCGGTTTTAAATTTTTTTTTTTAATTTTTAGGAAGCATTGGTTGATGCCTAACAAACAACTAACATAGCCTACATCTAAGGGATTAGTGAAGCTTTCTTTATTGAGAATTTCAATAATTTAAAACAAAACATGGGCAGACTGGTAAGCATCTCATTCATAAAGGAATTTAATAACTTTAAATTAATGTGGCCACAAATTCAAAGTAACACAAATTTCAAGGGAACCTAAATGCTCACCTATAAGTTAAATCTACTTACAGCATTCACAGCCCTGCAATTCAACCTACCTAGTCAAAACATGACATCAGAGTTAGCAATCAGTTAGCTAGCATTTATACACGAATCTGTTTGAAGCTTTTGCATCCCATTCTACTATATGGAAAACTCAGACGTATCTGGACTACCTTCAAAGTAGTTCTTAAAATATAATCATAATTTAATATTCTAATAATATGCACAATTATTAATTTTTATACACAATCTGATTTTATTATTTGTATTTTCTACTTCTCAAAGGCATAGAGGATAGTAAACTATGAATAACCCATTTACTTTATCTTAACGGTACATATATCTATATCAGAATGCTGCTGCTAATGTAATCATCATCACGATGCTGAATGAGAGCAGTAACAATATGAATTCATTTGATCTATAACATTACTGAACACTGGTATCCGAAAAACACAAGGTTGTTTCACCTAATACACCAAACTCAAGTTCTAAAACACTGGGGCCTGTGCTTTGGTGTAGCAAGTAAAGCCACCACCTACAGTGCCAGCATCCCATACGGGTGCCAGTTCAAGACCCGGCTACTCCACTTACAATCCAGCTCTCTGCTATGGCCTGGGAAAGCAGTAGAAGATGCTCCAAGTACTTGGAGCTATGTGGGAGACCCGGAAGAAGCTCCTGGCTCCATTGGCCCATAGTCAGCCATTAAAGCCATCTGGGGAATGAACCAGCAGATGGAAGATCTCTCTCTCTCTCTCGATCTCTCTCTTTCTGCCTCTGCCTCTCTGTAAATCTACCTTTCAAATAAATAAATCTTTAAATTTTTTTCTAATGCACTAAAAAAGTTTATTTTCATGATTATACTATCTAGCAGGGATTAGGAATTTTATTAGCTGATTAGCTGCCATTAAAGCATTGCATGCTTGTAGAAGAAGAATATTATACAATGCTAAAGAATAAAAACATTTAAGCCTGATTACAAGAATTTTGAATATGTTGCTTAGGAATCGTGTAACTCTAAGAGCTTATAATTCTCTGAGATTTTAAATATATATTTGAATTATTCTTTGTTATCTAGGAAGAAACACATGCTTCTTATTCCATTTAACTATTCATTTAATTATTGAATTTATAATCTCCATATTACCCTTTCATATCAGAATAATTATAAATATAAGCAAACTGAAGGATATATTAGGATAAAGTTCAAAGAAATTGGCTTTTGATAAAAATAAAGATATAATACAAAGATAACAGATCATGTAGTTATATCAGTTTGAGAGACCAATGAAATGGATGACAGAGAGTTATACAATATAAATAACCAAAAATAATTTTTAAAATGGCAACAAGAATCATTGTGAAGAAGAGTAAATAATAATTTCTTTATTTTATTTTATTTTATTTTATTTATTAGACAGGCAGAGTTACAGATAGTGAGAGAGAGAGACAGAGAGAAAGGTCTTCTTTCCATTGGTTCATTCTCCAGATGGCTGCTACAGCTGGTGCGCTGTGCCTATCTGAAGCCAGGAGCCAGGTGCTTCCTCCTGGTCTCCCATGTGGGTACAGGGGCCCAAGCACCTGGGCCGCCCTCCACTACCCTCCTGGGCCACAGCAGAGAGCTGGACTGGAAGAGGAGCAACTGGGATTAGAACCCAGCGCCCATATGGGATGCCAGCACCACAGGGGGAGGATTAGCCATGTGAGCCATGGCGCTGGCCCGTAAATAATAATTTCTAACACTGTAGAGGGCTCCCTAGTTTTCTTTAAGTCTTCCAAGGACTTATTTAATCCTCACAAAGCACTTTTAAGGTACATGCTGTCCTTGCCATAATGTTGATTAGAAAAGAGGCGCAGGGAACTTAAGACATGTGTTCAGCTTCATACAGCTATTGATTAGTAGATAAAGGATTTGCATGTTGCAGTCTGGTTTCAGAGTCTACAATTTTTGATGATTACTCAGAGTGCTAGATTGAAAATGATGAGAAACTTTATAGCAGACAGCCAACTTAAATTGAATTAAATTGAAACATGAGTTAAAAAGAGCTTTAAAGTTTTGTATTCATTCTGAAGCCATGTTTAGATGAAATTAAACAACGAACACAGTTCTAATTAGATTTCCTTTCTTTCTATTAAATCCCTTTCAAGTATAATTGAATCAGATTAATTTTATTTAAATATTCAATTGTTACAAAATTATCTTGACAAACTGACTTTCCTCTTTCTGTCACTCCTTTCTCTATATGCATAAGTGATCCCTGGAATTAGTGTTATAAAATATTAACAATTGGTACATTTGTGTTTGGTCTTTGTAATTATTTGTTATAATTTTTCTTTATACTTTCCTATATTGATTGATTTTTAAATTATAAAAGTTTGTAACATTTCAAAAAACACTGTAAGTCTTTATTATAATAAAGAAAAAATGGCATAATGGGCATAGAGATGAGATTATAAAAAAAGAGAAAGGGAAAAATTGTAGATTAGAAAGGTGAAAATGGAGCAGAGAACACAGAAAAGATATGGTGGAAGCCACACTTCAAATATTAATCACATTAAACTTGAAGTGGAAATGCAGATATAAAGTATAGAAAAATAGCAGAATTTACTTATTGCATAGCTCATCACTCAGATAACTAAGTATGAAATTTTTTAAGAAATGACATTTTATAGAAAATAAAACTGCTTTAGAGTCCTTTTATAGCATAAAGTTCTTTACTTTAATCACAGGACACATGTGCAACTATTATCAAATGAAATTACTTTCGTAAGCCATTATAAAAAATGTAAATATTGCTTTATAATTTTTACGGTAAGCATAGAATTGATACCTTAAATTTGTAAATGAGTAATTTTACAAATAAATTACTTGAACATCCTAAAAATAAAAATACAATGTTTTACATTGTAAAATATTCACTTACCATCATGATTAGGATTTCCTAACGTCCATGGCTCATCTGAGTCAAAATGAGTATCTCCTCCAATTCCTGGCCCAGGGAAATAAGCATGTGCCAGAAAGCCTCCCTCCCCATCAAAGGGAGAACTGTCTCCATGAAAACCAGATGCGAAAATGATGGTGATATCCACATCGCGTTTGCCATTTTCTAATTCACTGTAGGGAACTTCTTCGAATGTCAGTGGAGTTACATTCTGCCACACATCAAAGGCACGGCGAATAGCTTTCCGGGTCTCAGGGTCTCCTACTTTCGGAGTGACGTTCTTTATGCTAAGAGTTAGAGGTGGTAATAATCAGTATGGTTTTGTTATATGCAATCTAACTTATTACTACAGATTTTCATTTATTGAGTTTACTTAAATGTTAGGAAAAACAGTCACATTAAATTGGTTGGTAGTACATTCATTTCTCCCATCTCTAGAGCTAGAGTTCACTATATTGGGACCACTTAATTCTCAGCAGTGTAATATTCACCCACCAAGGCTATCAATGAGATGATCTGTGCAGAATGGCTAACAGGAAGGTATCTAGATCAATCAGTCATGTTGCCTCCTGGACAACAGGTAGGTAGAACTGCTAAATGATCAAACAGGTGTAGCAGTTTTGAGTTAGAATAAAAATATCAAATTTCTTTTTGATTATTATTACTTTCAGAGGTACACCCTTGTGTCTGTGCCCATCAGTTTACATCAATTCCTATTAAAGTCTTTCTGCTCTTCTTTATCTATGAACACAAAAATCAGTGGATGCAGTTATTTCTTAAATTTTAAAGAAATTATCAAATAATTATCATTTATGATTTCCTATTGCTTCTTAATAAATCTTTTTAGTAATGCCATGGATTATGGATAATTATTCAGCATAAAGATTAAAAAATATGAATTCAAATAAGTCATACATTATTACCTTTATTTTGTACTGATACAAAATTAATAAAATTATTATAAATATAGTTCTCAAATTTTTTCAATATTAATCAATATTTACCTTTCCAGCTATTCTCTGTTGTTTTCTAAGCAACAAAACAAATGAAGTTCATATTTTTATATTTTAGGTTGTAATACTATATACCTATACCATGGAAGTGAAAGCAATGGCTATATTTCAGACATTTTTGTTCAATAATCTTATATCCATTAAGTAAACTAAGGACATGCTTTAATACAAAAGGGAATATATATATTCAGTTTAATATTTACTGCAATAAAATAAAAAAGAAAATAGGAAGATATGCAATTTACAATTATGGAGTAATGGTTAAATACTGGCATCTCCAATGTATATCATTATATATTTAGGACTCAAAACTTCTTATTTTATTATTTTGGAGGCTTTTTTTCAGCATGGAAAAACTTGCAAGATACACATTCCAGTGGGACAATTAACACACCAGTTCTATTTTTAACACAATTGTAATTATATCAAGATAATTACAAATGTCAGGCAGGCAGGAACTATGCTCAACTAATAATTGTTCTTAATTGAACATTTACTATAAGCCAGACTAGCACTTCACAATGGTTCACTTAATTCTGGGAGTAATTCAGTAAGATGGGTATTAGTACTACCTTACAAATGAAGAATTCTAGGAATTTAGAAAATAAACCTTCAAGGTAGCAAAACTAGTTTTCATCCCAAATATTCTGTAAGAATCTATTGTCTTAAATTCTATGCTAGACTAACAAAAATTCTAGAACATATATTTACATAGCATTTGACAGTAAACACTGTTCATTACATTTAAATGAAAAAGGCAGCACACCATTCCTGCTGAGAAATAATGGAGCTTTGCATCAGAATGTCAACAGCATATGAATTTATTTTATTTGAATGTTGGGGAGAGAGAGAGAGAGAGAAAGAGAGAAAGAGAGAGAGAGAAAGAAAGAGAGAAAGAGAGAAGGAGAGAAAGAGAGAAAGAGAGAGAGAGAGAGATCTTTTATCTGCTGGTTCACTCCTCAAGTGGCTGAAACAGCCAGTACTGGACCAGGCTGAAGCCAGAAGCCAAGAACTCCATCCAGGTCTCCCATCTTCTGCTGCTTTCTCAGTGTATTAGCAAGTAGCTGGATCAGAAGTGAAGCAGTCAGGACTCAAACTGGTACTTTAATCTGGGATGCCGGCATGGCCAGCTTAACCTGTTGCACCACAACACTGACTCCTCTAATTATATTTTGCATAAAGTCCAAACTTGAAAAATAAAGATGTACTTAATAAAAATTATGTTACTCAATGTTTCTATTATTGTTGTGAAAAAGTTTAAAAATAGAGCTTACTCAGAATTTATAAGCTTATTCAACAGCTTTTCAACTATTACACAAATGTTGTCTAATTTATCTAACAAGTCAGTAAAATTATTGGTTTCAATTATTTCAATGATTGCAATTCACAGGATGGGTAATTTAATTTTCTAGTAGCTCAAAACATTAGACCCTTCTGAAAGCCTTGTCAAGTTTTAGAATAACTAAAAATTGTACCCAATAAGTATTCTTTTCATTACATAGAGAATTCTTAGGTAGAATTTGGGGTTGAAGCTTCAGTAAACTGTCTTCAAAATCCCTCAGCATTTTATGCTTTTTAAGAGGTATCCATTAATTGGCCAGGAAACAGAAAAAAAAAATGTGGTCACCAGAAGAGAAAATGTACAACAGTGCAGTCTTAGCCAATAAACTAAGGAGAAAAAATTGGCATCATCATTGCTTTGTATGTTTTGCTCTCTATCAACATAATCTAGTCATTTTATTTTTTCCGACTCAAACTATACTGCTAACTCACGAGTTTGCTATCACATAACATCCATATTCCAAAACACTTAACCCAACTTCTGTCTGCATTTTGCAATGACATACTTCAGATATCTTTTCATGAATCATGATCTTTTTTAAAAAATATTTATTTATTTATTTAAAAGTAGAGTTACACAGAGAGAGAAGGAGAGGCAGAGAGAGAGAGAGAGAGAGAGAGAGAGAGAGAGAGAAAGGTTTTTTTCCATCTGCTGGTTCACTCCCCAATTGGCCATAATGGCTGGAGCTGCGCCCATCCAAAGCCAGGAGCCAGGAGCTTCCTTCAGGTCTCCCACGTGGGTGCAGGGCCCCAAGGACCTGTGCCATCTCCTACTGCTTTCCCAGGCCATAGCAGAGAGCTGGATCAGAAGTAGAGCAGCTGGGTCAAACCGGCGCCCATATGGGATGCCGGCACTGCAGCAATGGATTTACCTGCTACGCCACAGCGTTGGCCTCATGAATAATGATCTTTTAAATAAGTGTCACATTTTGTACTTATTTCTCTAAATATAATAAAAATAGTAATATGTTTATATTGTACTTACTGTACCACTCAGTTATACAGAAGGAAAATCAATTACTGATTTTAAAAATTTTAAGCTTAAAAAGGTTATTTTTACAAAGACTAAGTATAAAATTATCTTTTCATAGAATTCATTAAAAACTCTTAGAATCATATCTATGAAATCCATGGCAGAAATAAAGAAACAAAATAAAAAAAAATTCTTGTCATCCAGCTCTCCCAAGTACCCCTTTCTCGGCTCATTGCTTCAACAAGCTCTTTCTCTTCTTACAGATCTTAGCTAAGTGGTCATTTCATTTAGGTGACCTCTGCTGGTATCCTAGGATGGACTGAATGACCCTGGTTTAAATTTCTCTAGCATCCGGTTCCTTCCTTTTCAAAACACGCATCACATTTACATGACCCCTCAATTTTTGTACATGGCTGAAAATTCCATGGGGAAAGAAAGGGTCTCCAGGTTTCATTTTGTTTATAATGTTATATCCTCCGGGCTGTTCTTTGTTCATACTGAGATTCAATTAACAAATAGGAACACTACAATAGCAACAGTTGTCATCATTTTAGGATAGTATTCCGTATCATTGAAGACAATATAAGAAAATATAATCCACTTGAATAATTACATAAAAAATGCAAACTTCTTAGACTGATGCTAAAAGTTAATCAATAGACTTAATGATATTTATTTACATTGGAGTTATTTTTATGTTTCATCATTTGATTACCTTTTACATTATGAATATTTATCAAAAGACATTAGTTAGAACATGCCTCTCAGAATTCATCAAAATATTGTCATTTCTTCTGAAAGTTGGAAGACCTAATTATAAAAGAGACCAAGTGCTTCACAGGCTGTCTAAATGTCCTCAAATGGAAAACTTATTGTCTACTCAATTGCAGTTTTAAATCCATTTCATTAATATTACACCCCTGCATGTTAGCCCATATTCAACATGTAGAAGGTGTCTAAAAAATGTCAAAACATTAATAGCTTACTTTAGTTCTCATACCTGTAAGTGATATGTTTATGCTGCCACTTCTGTCCTGTTAATGCATATCTCTTCCGACGAACATTAAATTTGGAGCTACCTCTTGTCTGGTCAGGTACACCGCATCGAGGCTTCTTCATCCAACTGCAAAAAACAGTATGTTCCAATCACTTACAAATAACTCTAATCATTTATCTCCAAGGAGATCAACTAGGAGGTTAACCTGCGACAGTCATGATGACAACAACAGACCTATAAAGGGGAAAAATGTCAGGTGTCTTGCAATTTGAATCTAAGTATACAGCATATTTTTGAATGATGAGAAACCACTGGGTACTGTTTAGGTCTGTGAGATAATTATCACCTCTAATTCATTTGAACTAACTGAACACTGAGATACTCTCACGCTTCTAACTAGAATCTGTTGTTAACAAGGTATGTAACCTTTGGCAAATCATTAGTACTCCATTTCTGTCATAAAATGTATTCTACCTTTGACATTCAAAAATTACCATAATCTGTTACATCTTAAATTTGGGGATGAATTTGTTATATAATACTCTCTCCTAGCTTACACAGGGGTGGATTTTTTGTTCAGACAATATTTGCATGTCCCTACTTTTTTCTTTACAGAGGAGCATTATTTTATTTTCCAAGTAGCAGTCATTGGCTTTGAATCTTTAATAATAACTAAATAAAATTCTGAAATAGTACTTCTGAATATGAGGTTTAGCACCATATCAATAAATTTTAACATATTTATGTTTGAAAATAAAGTGCTACTTTCAATTTATTAATTTTAACTCTTATACTGATATAGTAATATAACTTTTATATATAGTTTCAGTTGTCCATTGTCATATTTTCTATTCTTGCATCTTAGGAGAATATTTTCATGATTTTGAGTAGATTTTCTATAATGCTTAAAAAATGGCTTTACTGTTCATTAGCTCCTCTATTTTAATAATTACAAAGCTAATGCAGAATCTTTGTGGTGCTACAGATTTCAAAAAGTAGAAATGAAAATAACCCCTTTTTTGTCTATTTCACCAAGGATTTAACTCCCATACTTTTTTAAATGGAACTGAATATAGAGATAACTCTCTGAAGATGTTCATTTTGTGAAAAATGAATCGGTTTATTTGATATGGAGATAAATCAGCCTTCTCCTTTTATAAATATAAGAATAACTTCATGCAACAATGACTTTTACTTCTTAAGAAAAATACATTCCTAATAAACATTAAATTTCTGCTTTTCATTCTGTTATCAATAATGTAGAAATTGTAGTTACCAGATTTTGTAAGTTACATCCTATTTCAATGCTTTGTAGAGTTTTCAGGAAACCACCTTCCCCCTTATTAAAGTATCCAAATCAAATGAAACAACACGTAAATGAACTATTCATTCATTCCTTTACTCATTTCATCCACCACACAATTTTTTTTCAACTTTTACAACAAGCTAAGTAATCCAAAAGTGTGAATAAAAAAGAACAAACAATAGCCCCTTCCTTCTGAACTTATATTTTATAGGTAAGAAATGCATGATAATAGTTACAATAGTTAGTCCAACATAGCCATGGTTCTGCATGTATGGATTCCACATCTGAAATTTGATCAACTGCAACTTGAATTTTTAAACTGTTTTTATACTGAACATGTACAGATTATTTTTCATTGTTACACGAACAATATATGCATAGCATTTACAAATAATAGTGTATTATAAGTAATTCAGAGATGATTGAAAGTACACAAGAAAAAGGATATGTATAGGTTACTTGAAAATACTACTCCTTTTTATAGAAGGGACTTAGGCATCTGTGGATTTTGGCATCCATCAGGTCCTGGAATCTGTCCCCTGAGGACACAGGGGACAACTGGGATACCTGCTTTCACATCTTCACCTGCATATCTTGTTATCACCTTTGTGTTGAATATAATTAAAAAACCTCTGATTGTCAAACTTGCACAAATTGACCTGATGTCTTATCTCAACTGAAAGTCTTAGCAGCTCTTGAGGCCTACCTATACAAGACATCCAACGATCATCCTCTATTTATCTCTAGTCACATCCACTCACGATGTAGTCTCTTCTGCCACCATAACATCTCTTGTATCTCTCATTCTTATCAGTGCCTTTCTTGAAAATACTAACAATAAATCTTCCCAGAGCAAAGATGTATTTTCAACATGGTGGACATATGAAATGGCTTTATAGAAAGAATCTGATTCAGGCTACTTAACAAGGTTTTCCCTGTCTTCCTATTTCCCAGCATCTGCTCAGATTTCTACAGAACCAAACCTCATTCCACCTTTGTATGTAGTGACCTCTTCTGGAATACCTTGTCTTCCATGCTCACCCTGAGAATCCTAATTTTTTTTTTTTTTTTAAGTTCTCAAGTCACACAGGTCCAGTGTACCAGCTCAATGCAGCACATACTATACTGTGTATTCCGATTTGTGTCTGTCTCTGTTTTCCACTGACCTGTGAGTAGGAGCCCAGAATGAGGTCAGCATCCAGCAAAGTCTCCAACAAGGAAGATGAAGCAAATGGAAGCAAATGAATGAAGTCTGCAAATCTTCTTACATATACTGATCTCCCTCACTACCCAATATGTTTCTTGAGAAATTCTTAACTCTTTCCAGCTCTTTGTCCTGAACAAATACGTATTTCATAGGCATTGTGGTGTGGCCACTTCATATAAAATTAACCATGAAGTAGATGTTTTAAGAGTAAGAAATAAACAAAAAAAAACAGACAAAATATAATATTAATGATTTAATACAAATGACTATTAATGAAGCTTGGTCAAGTTGAGAACAGTCTTTGTTAATTTTGCTAACATTTGTATCCAAGTATTCTGGCAAAGACATATTAGCTGGTATTAAGAAAATATGTAAAATCCCAAGTACATGATTAAAGCACACCACTGAACTTGACTCATAATATTTGAACCACATAGGTATCTGAGCTTTTAACTTGACTCTCGTATCTGTACTGGCAGAAATCTGGAGTAGAAGTTGGAGCTGGGAAAAGAACTCAGGTACTCCAATATAGGATGTGGGCATCACAACCATTAGACCAATGCTCATTTCCAAACCAGAACATTTTAAATTGCTGGGTAGATCATTCATGTTTTCTTTTAAATTAATTCATCTTAAAAGAAATATATATATATATATATATATATATACACTTAGTAAAAGTATATTTTATACATATAAATAAGTAAAAACTGAGAGCAAAAATTCTGGTTTCAGACTTTAGCATTCCCAACCTGGCTCCACTGACTCACTAGTTCTATGAAGTTTTTAGGTTACTATTCTTTCATGCATAAAATGAATATGATGATGTTACCTCTCTTACTGAGTTACTTTGAGGATTATTATATTTAATTCATATGAAGAATTAGAATTGCATGGAGATAGTTACTGTTATTACTACAAACTGATAATAATCGTTAGTTTACATATATTTGGAAGCAGTTATAGTAGCAGAAGTAGTTCTAATATTAGAAGCTGCATCAGTAGCCAAATATGAATTTCAGCATATTTCAGTTCACTGTGACCTATTTTTTTAACATGCATTATTTTATGTTATTCAGAACAGATATCTTATCAGTACTTAGATAACAGAAATATCATCAGCTTCATTATCTTGTTTATGTAAATAAAGTTGACTGAAACTTTTAAACACTTTTGCCATATTGTGTATATGTTTATATACACATGAAGGAGGGTCCATTAATTTCAGTTAAACATTTTGTTTTCTTTTAAAAGAGTAGGGCATTAATGCAAGTAACATAGGGTCACACATTGCATGATTCCAAGAAAAGCCTTCAGGTTGTAATCCTTGTACCTGGTGCCCCTGCAATAGTGCTTCAGGAGGGCAGCCGTATGTGGTGGGATACTACACCTTGCATTGAGTGTTGGACCACATGGTGACTGTGTGTACATACAACTACTTTTATCAAGAGAGACAAAGGGGGGGGGTGACAAATGTAATGTGTTTCACCAATTAGTGATCTAAAAACAATATTCATTGTCACAATATACTAAACATGTTTCCATCCTCCAGATTTTTCCAAGTTTTGAGGTATGAGCAATACTTATAGTTGGCTCTAACAGATTCTTCTAGAAATAGCTTAATATGCTTATTTTTATTATCTTAAAATTCTGATTTGTTTTCACAGAGTCAAGTAGTCATGAGGAGATTTTAGGTAGTACATTAACTCAGAGTTCAAAATCTTGATAACTGACAGCTCACACTGCTGAGTTTCATTTTTCCTGTCAACTCATTAACTGCCTGCCTCGACATGCATGTTATTCTCAAGGCTGAAACTGCAGCAGGACAGTATTTAAACACCTGACCACAGAGAAGACATGCAGTAAGCCATCACGATCTTGGATGTGAACAAAAGTTCAGGTAGTGTCAGCTTTTATTAATGCTTTCATCTTTTACTTTTTCCAAGCGGAAGCTAAAGCCCCTGCTAATTTAGTTATCAATTACCTCTGTAGCTACCAAAATGAAGACCGACCTACCGCATAATGTACACTGACTACTTCTGGAATATTTAGAAATTAAGAAACAGATTTTTAATTACCAATGAACATATCTTTTACATTCAAACCGAAAAAGAAGATGAAGTATTAACTTAACAATGTAGATAAAAGAAGGTTACGCATTGATAAGCCAAAAATGTTAGAGTTCTTAATATCTCTAAATAAACAGTTCAATTAATAATTTAGGAGTTCAAACTTAAGTGCAATTTATAATAATTCTTTGAAAAAAGCTATTCACTCAATTTGAGTAAGTTATATTTCTTGGTATGGTTTGAAAAAAATTGAGCAGAATTACTCAGAATATCCAATATACAGGTATATTGTCCCTATTTAATAATGTATATTTATATTATTTATTATGTAGTAATAAATATAATGTACAGTATGTAGGTATAGGGAGGGAGTTCCAAATAAAAGATTTACCACTTTAAGAAATAATATCTTAGGGTGGGTGTTTGGAATAGTGGTTAAGAAATCTTTGGAAATTTATATTCATAAAATAAAAGAAATGGCTTTGGATGCCTGCATCCAATACTGAAGTACTGGGTTGGAGTCCCAGCTCTGTTTCTGATTGTC